TGGTGTAATGCTGCTGATTTTATATCAGGTATGTGTTTAGTCCAGTATTTCCCTCAGATTTCTGAGGGTTAGCTTTCTTAATTATAGTAATATTCAAAAACGGATGATAGAGGTGTTTTATTGTCAGTGAAGCTTTTTATTGCATGGTTATGCTCCATACTCTAGGTCACTCAGCTTTCAATGATACATTTTATGCTTGATTTGGGTAGCCTATCCTAAGTGGGCTAAAGTGTGGTATAAGTCCAGGGCAACATAAGAAAGGGTGGGGTAGGAGGATGAAATGGTTTGTTTAATGTCTATGAATGAAAGGCTTCTGTGGGTGAATGATGACACTGACAGTGGATCATCGGACTTCTGTTGGAGATCTGTAGTTCAGGTTTTTACACAGATCTAACCAAAACTCTAGACCCTTTCCCCCTCTGCAGTCTACTACTATCATATATCCAGCTGTTTACTTTCTGTTCAACTTGAATTTTCAGAGGGTACTAGTAGACTTGAAGGTAGTCTACTTCTAGATTAAAACTGCATTATAATAATTTGCAAGGGCATGTGGATGAGTTCCTGTGGTGGTTGTTTACTAAAAAAGTACCCATAGGAAATTCAGAGGCAGATGGCCTAGCTTTCATGTTCTGTGGGCAAGGACAGGCACACAGGCAGTTAACACGGGGCACATCTTCGTAAGACATTTACTGTGCAGTAGACTAATTAGCTGTGCAGTAAACATCTCGGCATCTACATGTGCAGCCACAGGAAACTAATAAACTCTACAGCAGGGTAGTACTTGTAAACAAACAACCCCTCTCCCCGCCCTCAAAATCCCCCAAACTCTGCAGCAGCGCACATGTCAACACAGCATGCAAATGTAGATGCTGGAAGAGATGGCTGGGGCATGTAGGTGCTTCAGTGTGGGGGTTGCCTGCTGGCTAGCCCCATGCTCAAGCTCTCTTGTGCCTCAACCAGCCCCTCTGCAGCACATTGAGCCGGGAGAGCAGCCTGGGGCTGGCAGGCTGACTCCTTGGACCACTCCCTGCCAGCTAGGGCTGCTCTGACCCAGCTCCATGTGCCGTGCCTGAATAAACTGCAGCTTATTGCTCCCAGGCCCCTGTTCAAATGGCAATAAACTTTGCAGTTTATTCAGGTACTGTAGTAGCACCTATAGACATGCCCATGCAGTAGTAGATGCACAGTAAGGTCAAGATACTGTTTCACCTATTCAGCACTTAAGTACGATTCTATCCACCCTTTTCAAGTCCCTGAAAACAGTTAATACCAAAGGCGGTGGGTTTTCTTCTTCACTGCTTTTGTGACTCAAACTTTAAACGTAAGATGATGTAAGTGTATTACAAAAATAGATACATGAAAGGATTCTGAAAACTTGAACAGGGTGTAATAGAATCACACTCTGGCACCTAAGTCCATAGATTTTTGCTTGGTGGAATAAAATCTGGGCCTAAGTCCCTGCCCTCCTTTTCCTTCCTATAGTTTTTTCATGCATCTGTTTTAAGCTCACAGGAGTTTCTTTCATTTTACTGATGACCCACCTGTTTATGGATTGCCTGCTCTGGGGAAGCCAAAATCTCACCTAGTTGGAATATAGTTGTACAGGAAACTTGTGCGAAGCTTACATTGTCTCAGATCCTGTATGCCTTACTCACAGAATCCCACTGAGGCTAATAGGACTGTGTGATGAAATGAGCAAGATTTGGGCTGGATTTTTCTAATCCATAACATTGACTTTGCTTCACCTGGTGGAGGTTCCACCAGGAGAATTCCACCTTCAAGTAATGGGAACATCTGTCATACTGAGGAATGGGGTTGAGGGAAATAATAGATCAGCCTGGACATTTGGGGAGCAAGAAGTGCCTTGTGGCTGCCAATATCCATTACCTGAAGTGCAGCTTGGACATAGCAGAGAACCAGGGTACTTTGTATTTACAATAGCTAGTGCTACCTGTCTGTCACTTTGAGCACCAAACTTGAGCAATTCTTAAATTGGGGGAAAAAACTGTTAATACGGCGGTGCACATTTTGAGGCTCATTATTTTCTTTATTACTTCATTAATAAACTGTTTAAGTTCAGTGTCATAGCTCCTTTTGTGCTAGCTAGAAATATTACCCTGGAAAAGATGAGCAATGGTTCCCATTTTACAGTCCTGATCCCTAAATATTCTCACTCTTCTTTTTTTTAATCTCTTTCTTCTTCTTGCCATCCTAATCTTTTACTGTATGTATCAGAAATGGACATTCTCTTGGACTAGGGGCAGAATTTACACATGAACCAGTTTAAGTGATCAGAAACTCATTTAAACCTGTATCAGAACAGAAGTTAAGTGCCCATAAACCCATTTTAAAATGACTGAAACTGGTTTAAGATAAACCTGGTTGAATGTAGTACCAGACTTAACTGATTTGGATCAAACCAGTTTATGAAACTTCTGTCCCAGACCCCTTCCTGTTTCAAGTTAAATCAGAGTCCCCCAGCATCCCAGCTGGCCCCACACCTTCTCCCTAGCTGGAGCAGACCCCGCTGGGGTCTGGGGCCAGGGAGAGGGTTTAAATTCACCTTCCCCTGAGTACAGAACTGCCCTGCCCTGCTTACATACTGCTGGCTGTGGCTGGGGACTACAAATCCCAGAGGCATCTGGAAACGGGAAGAGGAAGTAATTAGCAACCCTGCAGAGTCCTACTACTGTGAGTCTGGACCGAAAATCCTAGAGACTCTGTGGGGCAGCAGAAAGAGGAAGCTCACATACAGTGCATGCTGGCTACGAGCCAGAACTGTGCTCTAGCACCTCCCTCCCTTCCTCTCCTCCCTCCCACCCTGGCTTCTAGCTTAAGCCACTGCAGGCATGTGGCTACATTTCCTGAAGCAAATGAACAGACATTCACTTTTGATTGTTGGTTCAATTTTTTCAGCTTAGACTAACCCGCAGACTGATTCAATTCAGCCTTGGGCTTTTTGAGTGTCTGTACTTAGTCCTGAGGACTGAAGTAAAAAAGGTGGTACTTCATAGCATGTGGTTGTAGCAGGATTCTACATAGGCACAACAACTGTGCTTTTATAAATATATGATATAATTCTTAAGTATTAGGTTGATGTCTAAAGTGTAGATTTAAATAATAGCTGACTTTTTATCCACCATACAATTCCAGTGACTCACTCAATGTATCACTGTTGCAGCAATTATAGAACAGTATATTACAGGTTCTGACTCAGAGTGGGGTTTTGTTCCAGTAGCTTCTGGCAATGCTAGTTTTAGTAGGGAAGAATTAATTGGTATGGTCAGCATGGCAGCAAGCAAGTCCTGCACCAAGAAGCACGAGTGACATGGGTTTCAGAGCTAGTATTATTCCCTTTAAAGGAAGACTCTTGCTTTGGATGAACATCCAGAAGTTTTGTTACTTGAATCTTGATTACATCTGTGACACTGGGCTCATACCAGAAGAGGAGCCCTTCTTGTTAGGCTATTTCAGGGCTTTGCAGAACTAGGAAGTACAGGAGTCTAAAAATGAAGAAGTAATTTGTAATAGGCTAGCCCTGTCTCCAAAAGATTTTCTTTTGTCATATGCATGTATGTACACTGGACCTGTTTTTCTACTGTCTGTCAACTGACTCCTGTGCAAAGCAAATACATAACGCTGTCATTGTGATTAAGTTGTCATAACCTTGATTTGCACTGATGCAGGTAATTATACATATTGCAGGGGCAACAGAAAATCAGGCTTTCAGTTCTGGGAGCTGAGTGGGGAGGTTTGCTTGCTCTATGTTAAAGTAACTTAAAAAAAAAAAGTATTGTATATAGGGCACACGTTCAAGATTGTATAACAATTCAGTGTCAGGGCAGAGGATTGATTCCAGATCTCTAGACTCCATCCTATGCCTTAACCACTTCACCTTCCTCTCTTTGTCTTTTTAGTAGTGGATGAAATCTCTGAGAGTGCTCTCCATTATGTCACAGTTCAGAATTTGGAAGGCTTCATTAATAATGAGGCTCTTGAACAGGAAAAGCAGAACAACTGAAGGAAAGTGTTTTGTGTATTATGCAGGGTTTTTTAAATGTCTCACTCTGAAAAGAAATCAGAACTCATGGCAGAGGTGATATCCTTTATTAGACCAACTAGATATTTGCAAAAAAAGTATCATGGTGAAAATGCATAAAACAAAAGTTTTTCAGTTAATGTCTCTCAAGTGAAAGAGAGATTTCCTTCTAGAAGTACTGTCTATGGAATAAAATCCAGGAAGTGTGGCAATGCTCAGTGTTGCTGTGCCTAACTCTTTGGCACCTTGCTCCTGGAGTGGAGTTAATGAGCATGAGTTGGGCACCAAATTCCCTATAAAATGCCAGGAAAAAACTGAGCTAAAGAGTAATGCTGGAGAGAGGGTGTTTGAAATCCTGCCTTTCTCTGCAGCCCAGTGCATGTCTAATGTAAATAGAGTGCACAGTCCTGGTGCCACAGACTACAATCTAGCTCTTTTCCCTTACAGGGGAGTGCCATCATCTCAGAGCTGCTCCCACTTGATCCTTGTCCTTTTTATCTCAGGAATCTTGCACTGTTGGCTGTCCAGAGGGCCAGCTTCAACAGGATGGATGGCGCCCAAAGCCCTTAGCCTGGTGGTAAGGGCTCTCTTGAGTGGGAGATATAGGTGTAGAAGGGTAAGAAGGTCCTAAAACCCAGGTCTCTGGCTTCTTGGTATCCTTACCACAGGATATTGGGCAAGAGGTAGGCACTGTCACTGGTCATTTTGGAGGGCTTCAGTTTTATGCTAAACTCAATGGTGCTGTCATTAGGGATCCTTAGTTCTACCTGTGCTCCACTTTCAGTACCAAAGTGCTTTTTAGATCTTCAGTCGTATACTCAAACATGAATGAGAAGCTCTGGCTATATGAAAGGAAGCTTGCTTAGCTGAATAGGGCTTTACAGTTCACTGCACCATAGTGTAACCTTGCCAGCCTCAGGAATTTTTTTTGAGCGTTTCAGTTGTTGTTTTTTTTCTGCAGAGTGGCCAGAATAAGAGTAAGACATTGAACGAATGAGCTCTGCTGGTAAGATCTGCAATCACACCATGACAGCCGGCGAGGCAGAAGCTGGGGAATTAGTTCTGGAGCCCCTGGTCACTTGCAAGCTATGTCTCTGTGAATATTCTCTTGATAAGATGACCACCCTTCAGGAATGCACCTGCATCTTTTGTACAGCGGTAAGCATCAGCAGCATCTTAATCAAGGTTTTAGGATAGAGCAGTGGTTCTCATCATATTTGGGCTCGAGGCACCCTCCTTGGGCTCAAGGCCCCCCTCCATAACTTTTGTGAATTGAGTGGCACCTAATTTCAGAAACTAATTTTATATATTACAGCACTTACCTCTTTGCAGAGGGGGCAGGCAGTGGCAGTGGGGGACTGGCCAGGCTGAGACAAGCCTGAGCCTGGCATATCTGCTTACTTCCTCACACCTTGCAGCACCCTTCAGGGGATTTTGCAGCACCTCAGGGTGCCCCAGCACTCCGGGTGAGAATCATTGGGATCAGAGTCACAAAAGGTGGAGACAGGAAAGATCTATTATAGTGTTTGTAGTCGGAATCAAGCGCTAATATCATATTGTCCTTTCCAGCCCCACACAAAATCCAGCACCCTAGAATTCCAACAAAGATACTCCCATAGCCACATATTTTTATTAATTGAATTGCTTTCACTTTTACTGAATACATTGATAATTGATATATTTTAAATAAATTGAATAATAAACTACAGTAGAATACCATCTATCAAAAAAAGAATAGTGGAGTATGTAAACAGTTTATATTCAATCTACTTTTATTATTTTTCTTTAGGAAAACTATTAAATACAATAGGATCACTATAGGGTGTGTGGAGAGTTTTTATAAAATACTGCTTCCCCACAAAGCTTTTACAGATATTCTAAAGGACAAAAGCCTCAGGTGCAGTACATACTGCAGAGATGCTGTTTTTGAGAATGGCCTTAGAAACCAAATTATGGTTTGAAATACTATAAATTTAACTTTGTTTGTGGAATTTCTTTAGCACTTTTTCATATATTCTTCTCTACTGAATCTCATTTTGTTAGCAATTCTGTTTAGATAATCTCCAAATCTTTGTTCAATCACTTCAGGTGAGGCAAATTGGCATAGCTACATTGAGCTCATGAAGCCATGAAAATTTACACCCAAGGGGAATCGGACGTTAGTCCCTGCATTCACACACTTTGCAGACTATCCACATACCTCATTTCTGCTGGTTGAAAGAGAAAGTTTAACCAAGAGGAAAAGGGGAAAAAATATCATTTTTGCCCATCCCTTCCAGGACAAGCAAGCCATGCAAAACGTGGGAGAGAAACAAGTGAGAAATATAAAGGCAAAAAAACCCACCAGGTTCAAGCATGTTGAATACCCATTCCAATTGGGCTATAACATGTCTGAACCTGGTGTTTTTTTGCCACGTTATAGCCCAATTGGAATGGGTATTCAACATGCTTGAACCTGGTGGGTTTTTTTGCCTTTATATTTTTCACTTGTTTCTCTCCCATGTTTTGCATGGCTTGCTTGTCATGGAAGGGATGGGCAAAAATGATATTTTTTCCTCTTGGTTAAGCTTTCTCTGTCAACCAGCAGAAATTGCAGAAGTACAGCTGTTTGTGACATTGTATGAGTCAGGTGGCTGAGGGCTGTGTCTTTGATTGCAAATAATTCTGACTTCTTTCATGCTGTTTCTGCTGGCTCTCTTCCTGACACTTAGTGAGATTGAAGGCTGTCAGCATGGCTGTATTAGCCATTGGTGAAAGGAAGCTATGATACAGTTCCTAATACCTTTTCATTCTATATACCTTATCCTGTATCCTAATCATTGTTCCACACAATGTTACTGGGCCCTCACAGTGGTGTATTGTATATAAAACCAGGAGCACAAACCAGTTCTTAGCTATTTCTTCCTCTTTAAAATAGCCACAGAATGTCTCTAAGGGTGTGTCTGTTCTACTTCTGTGGTAATCATGAGACAACTGCTAAGAAATGAGCCCTGCCTACTTGCTCCTGCTCTGTATGAGCTGCACGCTGAAAATATGCCATGCAGTTGCTATTAAAATAGTGCTAAGAGTGATCAGTACAGCTCTCGGAAGCATAGCTGAGACTGCGATCCTCAGAGCACTGCTGATCATCATACACCAAAAAATGACTATGTGACTTGTTTTAGCAAGCAGCATGTACTGAGTGGGCAGGTCTTGACTGTGCTGAGGATCTCTAGGAAGGCAGCATAAAAGTACCTGAAAGCATTTTCATAGGATGCAATTCAAAGGGATTTTTGCTGCTAATCATAGCACTTGGATTGTTAATCACCCACCTTTTGAGAAGATTATTTCCTTCTGGGATGAGTGTCCATGTTGTGTTTCTGAGAGGTAGAGCATAGAACTGAAGGCCCAGACAGAAAGTTAGCTTTAAACCACCTGTATGTCCCTCTGATATTGGGATGTTATAGAGGTCAGAGTGGCTTTTGGGTGGTTGTGTGAGTTACAGCAGCTTGTCTCCAGCTGCCTTTTGGCAGCAATACATATTGCTATATGTGCCATATGGTTATGGGGCTGGAGCACATGACGTATGAAGAGAGGCTGAGGGAACTGGGCTTAGTTATTCTGGAGAAGAGAAGACTGAGAGGGGATTTAATAGCAGCCTTCAACTACGTGATGCGTGGTTACGAAGAGGATGGAGCTAGACTGTTCTCTGTGGTACCAGATGACAGGACAAGGAGCATGGTCTTAAGTTGCAGCAAGGTAAGTTTAGGTAAGATATTAGGAAAAGTTTTCTCACTAGGCGGTTAGTAAATCACTGAAACAGGTTACTGGGAGAGACTGGAATCTCCATCCTTAGAAGTTTAAGACCTGGCTAGACAAAGCCTTGGCTGGAATGATCTAGTTGGGGCTGGTCCTGCTTTTGAGCAGGGGGTTGGATTAGATGACCTCCTGAGGTCCCTTCCAAGCCTAATTGTCTGATTCTATGTTGTGACACCATTTTGATAGATCCTTGTACCCCAGGACATCCCTTCTGTCAGGCACTGTGAGGAAGAGTTGGGGGAGGCTCATAGGAAAACCTGAAGCTGTTTTAGTTCCTGTGCTGGGATAATTCCCCTCCTCCTTTTTTCGATCCCCAATTAACATTGCGTGGGACTCTCTTTACCTGTATAAAGGGACTGGAGTTGGGGTGACTCTCAGCATTAATATCTTGGATCATGATATCTTTGTCTTTGGGACACTGAGTCTTTAAAAAAAGTCGAGTTTGGTTTTTCATAACTAGGGTTAACAACATACAGCCCAGATTATTCCTGAAGTAGCAAGAGAACTCCATATGGAGAATGTATCCTATGCTAAGGAGTGGCTATATTTTTCTTTCCTTTTACATACCTGTTATTTTTCAGCTGACACTAACCTTGGCTTGCTCACTCAGAATTTTTCAACTAAACATTAGTTTCTACCAAAGCATTACCAACTTGGGGGGGTGAGGGGAATGGAAATGTACTTAGTTGGGCATCCAAGCTTATGTTTTCACCTATCATTTGTGGTCTATAAAACACAAATTTAATGGGTTAGTACTGTGTACTGGTTTACTTCCAGCTTTAGAGACTGATGCAATAAACATTACCCCTTGTAAAACCTGTACTCCAGCCAAAGTAAGTAAATTGCATTTCAGTGTGTGTATTTGCATTTGAGAGGAATGTTGCTATTTCAACTGGAACTTTCTAGAGATAAGCCTTTTACTTGAGCTGTTTAAAGAAAAAAAAAAGTGAAAATCAGATGAGATGGTGCATTTGTACGTAGATTTTTTTTTTTTTTTTTTGCTTTCTCTCTTTGGAATTACTCTTGAAGTCAAACAAGAGAAGTTCAACCAAATATGTGGATAATACTTCTTACTTTTGAAGTGAGATTACAGTAAAAAGTCAAGAGCTCAAGCCCAAATTAATCATTGCCTGAAGCTTCTTGAGATATGTAGAAATAGGTGATGGCTTGGCTTGGTGAATGTGTGTTTAAGTTTCAAATGAGAATATGGAAGAGAATTCCTCTTGAAGTCAAACAAGAGAAGTTCAACCAAATATGTGGATAATACTTCTTACTTTTGAAGTGAGATTACAGTAAAAAGTCAAGAGCTCAAGCCCAAATTAATCATTGCCTGAAGCTTCTTGAGATATGTAGAAATAGGTGATGGCTTGGCTTGGTGAATGTGTGTTTAAGTTTCAAATGAGAATATGGAAGAGTCCCCCCACAACAAACTGTATCTGAATTATTATAAATAGCACATTAGAGGACTACACAAAGGTGTAGTGTGGTTTAAAAGGTTTATCAGCATAAGTTTGGGATGTCTACAAGTGGCAATGAAACCTTTAGAGTACACCATGCACCTGTGTGCTGTGCTATAACAGCCATGTATGCTATAGGAAAAACTGTAGCATAACTGTGCTTAAAAATAAGTGACAAAGAATCCAATTGCACTGAGCTTGGAGGAGCAGTAGAAGCCTTTAAAAATTAGCAGTCCTGGATCTAAAAATGTTAGGTGTTTTACACCCAAGAGACTGGATTGATCTTAAGAGCTAGGAATGAATACTAGGGCCAAATGTATACAGTCTCAGCCTATTTGGAAGGGTCTTACAGAAAATAGGGCCCTGACAGCCAGGGCAGGGAAGGTGCTTCACTGGAAAAGGAGCCGTGTCATTTTGACCTGGCTTACCTAACATCTGTGTAAATAGCGTGGTTTAGCAGGGCTCTTTGGTGCTTGAATCAGTTATTAGATAAAAGCACCAAAAAGCCCTGCTGAAGCTTGCTATCTATACAAATGTTGGGTGAGCTAGGTCAAACTGACATGGCTCCGCTTCTGAGCATGCACTGAAGGGGGTCGGGGGGAGGGGTTCACATCTGTCAGCAGTCTAAGTGCCAGCTCCTCTTTCAATCCTCCCTTTTCTACTTGTTTTCAAAAAGTTTGACCCCAATTTCCCCCGTATGAATGGAATCAATTGCAGGTGCATCAGGCAACAATTCATTTCAAGCTGTATGTTAAGTCACACTAAAACAAGATTTGAACTGCTTAAAATAATATGCCACAGCAGACTGTGAAAACAAAGGATAATTTTCCATGCTGGCTTCTGTGGAGTTGGTACATGTCTATGCAGGACCAGTATGACTCATTATTCAACCTTATTTTTTCA